TACATGTCAGGGTATACAGCCTGGTGCAAATGTAGACATTATTACACATTAAATATCAATATAGCACATTTAACCAATGCAAAGAACTGTGACTGGATGTCCATTCATCTGCTTTATCTGACTAGTCAGTGTTAGTTTTCAATGAAAAAAATCTAGATTTTTAATCTCTGAGCCCCGTTATCTTTGAAGTGTAAGCCAACTGAACCCAAGGAAGTGGACAGAGTTCTCATGGCTGTGAGCTTGGCTATCTATGTTCTGCGTTCCTGCTTGGACAAGGCCTCTCAGGAGGTAGCATGTAGTTGAGACCAACCACTGGTTAATGCTTTGGTGTGGGAGGCATTGGTATCACCTGCCTAGAATGAAGCAGTGGGCCATTCAATTCTCAAGAGGCCATCCTTGAACCCAACAGTGTTAGATACCTTAAATGTTGCCATGTTATGGAATTCAGAAAGTGTGCCTTTTCTGAGGTAGCCCCTGCCCTATGTAATATCCCCCCCCCCAAAAAAAAGTTGACTAGCTCCCACCCTTTTAATCTTCCAAAAAGCAATCAAGACCTGGCTTTTCCCCCCAAGTGCTGGGAAAGGGGGAATTAAGTTTAGTTATGGTAACTGTTTTTTTTTGGTTTTATTATATTTTGGTTTTAATATTTTTGTTATATATAGATGTGGCTTTATCTTTAACCATGATTTTATAGGCTACATTTTGTTTTCTAGTTCTGTGTATCTATGTTGGACATTAGAAAATAGTCTTCTCTTGATAAAGAGGAAATAGGTTTTCTATCTTTTTTCCCACATAAAGTTTAACTTATTTTCCCAACTCAGATGGAGTCACGTGCTTTGAAAATGCTATGGTCACAGTAGCTTGCCTATATCTAATATATTAGTTTGCTAGACAATGCATGCATTATTCTTCTAGCCCCCCCCCCCCCCAAATATCATCAGACTTTGGGGGGATGATATTAGACTTTATATTTCCTATTTCTTAAGATCCTACAATTATGGAAACAAAAGTGTTATTGACATAAGAGAAACCTGTATTACATTACAAATTATTTGAAATATGTGTATTTTATTGGAGGGATAAAACTACTTTGATTTTTTTTAAAGCATTTTTTTTTAAAGAAACAGTTTGAATTAAAAATCATTTAAACATGAAATCAAATAATTTCATTTGGCTGCTCTCTTACTATAATATTGTATTTGAAATAATTTAGATATCTGTGGGATAGGAGCATCTGTACCTTATCATGTATAACTTTTCCTGATTATTTCTTGAAATGCAGACTAAACATGCGATTCTGACATAAGGCAGCATCACATTTGTATTCCTAGTTTACTCAAACGCCTTTGCCAGCTGAACTAATGTCTCATAAAGAACAACTGTGACCTCAAGGGAATCTTGTAGGAGGCACTAAACTGTAGAAGGCCAAAAAGAAGTTACAACTATTTATACCAAAATTCCTGATCCTAAGTCATACTATATACATATATCATCCCTATCTTATATTATATACAAGACATATATATGCACAGATTGTTTAAGCAGCAAATCCCACTATTATATTTTAGAACTTTTCAAAATTCCATCATGTTTAATATAAGTTTCAAGAGTATTGACCATATAAGTATTACTATTCTGCATAAACAACAGCTTGATTACAAGTTCATGTTTTATAAATGGGTGGCTACATGTGCAAAGACAATCTTACTTGCAGGGACATTGTGTTAAAGGTTAGGAATTGCATACCTACTAACAAGCGTTTTGGAGATGACTGGACACAAAACTGGGAAATCTGGTTTTCAAACTCTACATGAACATGAAAGTTATTGGCTGCCATTGACTCAATCCTATACCCCCTCACCTTGATCTCCCTTGTATCATTACTGTGATAATATCATGCAATTAATACTCAGAACTGCAATATCCAAAAAAAACTATCATTCGGAAAATATAGATTCTACTTCCTGTACCTGTGGGACTGTTCTAATAAAAACACTCCCATCATGATAACATTTCTCAAAAGCAGGGAGACTGACATTTGCTCTTCAGTAAAAACACAAATCTCCATACACTTAAAATATAAGAAGCTAGAACTATTTGTTGACAAAGGAAATTAAAAGGTCTGAACAGATACCTTGTAATGGGAGGGGTGGAATCCTTAAATTTTGTTTTGGCCAGGATCTGTCATGTTCAGCCTCAGGGTATTTGAAATTTGACCTGTCTCCAAAAAATTGGTCATGCTTATTGGAAATGAGAAAAAGATGCTAGAAATATGCATAATTCTGTATTAATGGAATGTAAGTGGTTTGAAGTGACCTGTGGGTAGTAATCAAGAATTATATCAGTACTTTCTTTGCAAAGCTGGTTCTTCAGGTGCATGTCTTCTTGAATTGTTACCTTTATTCTTTCTTGTTTGTGCCACAATAGATAGCCTGGTTAGATGGACATTATAAGTCCTACCAGGTATGCAACCTAAGTAAGTGGTTTCACACAAACCTGAATTGCTATCATGTCCAGACTAAATTATAAACCATTTTTTTCAGGATAAAGGCAGGGAAAGCCAAGCAGAAGCAAATAAATAAGTAAATAAATCAGAGAGCTTCAAGTAACATATTATGCCTCTAATTAAAAAGTCAGAAAATATAATTTGTCAAGTAAGATTAGCTTATTTTTGAGCATAATGCTTTCCTTACACTTTAGTTTAAGGAAAAAAAAGAACTGTTATAAAAAAAACTCTATCTTTGAAGGCCCATAATATTGGATAAATATTAAATTGCAGGGTATAGTGCATAATTCTGTCCATCTTCTCATTCTTGTATCATAAAATATGATAGCACTGCATCTGTTTATTCTCACTCATTCTTGATTATATAGCATAACCTATAAGACAACAATACATTGTGTGTCTTATGTCTGTCCCTTTATGATTGCATTGTCTGATAAATCAGATGGATTCAGAGAACACAAACACCATAAAAATGAAACTGAACATAGAATTCATTCACTCAGAATCAGAACAGACCATGTCGCAAAAAAAAAAAAAAGAAATTTACAATGTTCATTTTAGAAAAATCTTTATTTGAAGGCATTTCAAAAGATGAATTTAAAAAGCACAAGGGTGCCCCCTAGTGGAATTTTAGCTCACATAACTAAGTGCAATGCATTACAAATCTATTCAGAATTACAGCAGTTTTTTTTTTTTATTTTGAGCACTTGAAGAAATCTGCATTCACATTTTCTCCAACTGCATTAATCACATTGTAAATTATTCTTCTAATTTTTAAGTCAGTTTAGTTTATTCATTCTTCCTTGTCCAGAGTCCATTGGAATAGTTACGGAACTAAAAAGAGAATATGTTCAACTTTAGTATCAGATTATAATTATGTTAGTTGTATTTACCACTTTTATAAAGAGCAAGTATAGAGTGGTTAATACTTAACAAGTTTAAAGTCCTGGCCTTGGCTTTGTCAAGTCTTAACCTCATTTCATTTATTTTAATTAGATAATTTCCTTAATAGGTTGAAATAATATATCTTGGCCTAAGCAAAGCATATGTAAAGGAAGGTAGAGATGTCCTTTGGAATGGAGGTTTTCAAGATTCTGTTACTATACCCCACAACAAGAAAGTAGCATTCCAGGAATTCTTATAGTAGCGATTCCCAACCTTTTGTTCACCATGGACCCCCTTTAAATACCTTTTGTGGTGAGCACGGACCCCCAAACTAAACTCAAGATTTAAATCATAACATTTCTTCAAGCCTTTGCAGACCCCCTGTGATGGCATTGCAGCCCTCCCAGGGTCCGCGGACCACAGGCTGCCTTGTGGTTTTTGTTTCTTCACCTGCCCTACTTAAGGACTGGCATCAACTTTGAAAATCCAATCCAAGGTGATCTCTTAACATTCCTTTCCAGGATTTGACAATACATTCCATGACATTCTGTTTAGCACCCAAGAGTAACTAACCTAAGCTGGATGGCATTAACAATTATGTGGACATACAGTTGTTCCAAAAGTTGTACTAAAAGACATCATCAACAATTCCTAATCAAACTGGAGCCACTGTTTGCGGCTGAGTTCCAACAAGCTTCAGCCATAGATTGTTTATTTTTTAATATTTTCTTAATCACTTAAAGAAGTGGAAGGGATGTTTATTTGCAGATGATGCAAAGTTAGATGGGATTTTGAGAAAGAGATTTCAGGGATATACTTCATAGGTTAGTTAGGTTGAAAAATAATATAATAAAATAGACAACAGAATCTTATGCATTTGGAAGACAAAAATTACATGCATGTATTATGGACAGAGATATCTGGCTTGGTAATATTATTTATAAAAAAAAGATTTTGGAATAGTTGATTGCAAATTGAATATTATTCAGCAGCATAATATGGCAGCAAAAAAGGCAAATATAATTCTATTACATAAAGTATAAAAATGTAATTTCAAAATAATTGGAATTAACAGTTACAGTATTCTGCATTGGTCAGATTCTATTTAAATGCTGAGTCCATTTCTTAGCCACAAGATTTTAATAAATTTCTGCTACATAGTTTTTCTGAAATGCAGATGAGGATGATTTACAGCTAGTAACTAATATGATGAAGAAGACTGAAAGAACCTTGAGAAGACTGAAGGGAATAGAACCCTTCAAGTATCTGAAATTTAAGATTTATTCTGAATTATTCCAGAGAGCATTTGAAAGTTTCTTGACATAGACAACAGTCAAAATTTGTTCTGGTTTATTCCAGACAGGACAAAGAATAGTAATTTAATATTAAAGGACAGATTCTGGTTGAAAGATAACAAAAATTTTGTAAGAGCAGTTAGATGGTGGAATCCATTATCCAAAGGAATAATGGGTTCCTTTTCCCTGAATGTCTTCAAGCATGGATTCGACAACTAACTGGCAAGATATAAATTCAAGTCCCTATTCAGTCGTGGAGCTCTCCATGTCTCTGGCTCAGTTATTCTTTCTCAGTGCTTTGTGAACCAAATCAGGGAAGAGTCCTTGCCATTTATGTAGATCAGTATTCCAGAGAAGCAAGATATGACATAAATGCAATAAATAAAAATGTTTTATTACTGTTTGATTTTAAATTCTGGCTTACTCCCCATAGGAAAGACACTTACAAACATCATCACAATTGTAAGGTATTGCTAATTATTAAAATATATGGAACAAAGCTAAGGCTGCAGTTTTACTCATCTGATTATAATATATGATATACTGAACAATTTTGACTTGTAACTATAGTAATCTAAAGGCTTTTTATATAAAAATAATATGTGATGACATTGTACATAATGCCTCTTAAAGCACTTTAAAATGAAAAGACAGGGGCTATAATTTATATTTTGAATTATTTGTCAAAATGTTGACAATGGACTGAGTTCTCTCTATTTCCAGATCTTCTTAATCTTGTTCTTGGAAGAGGCCAATGTCAGAAGTTTTTCTTTATTTAAGAGTTCAGGGTTTGAGAATACCAGAATAAGAGAAACTAATCATACTTCCTCAAACACTCCTTTTCCCTCAAACTAACCACTATTGACCTCATCTCATTCCTAAGAGGTATGTAAGGAGCGTGCATAAGCGCACAATTGTGCCTAACATCCCTGTCCTATTGTCCCCAATTATTCGTACCCATTTCCTGTATTTATACTTACGTTTATTATCTTGTAAGCTATTGACAAATAAAATAAAAAATAAATAAAAATAAATGATATACCTTGTAACGTAATGTAGTTTTTTTATTGCAGAAAGAAAAAGGGACAGACGAAAAAAACCAAAGAGAGAAGAAAGCAAAGAAACCAGTCAGGAAAACAGAGACCAAGAATCCAGAAGGCAGGGCAGAGATCCAGAGAGAAAAAACAAAATGCAACCGAAGAAGAAAAAAGGCCAGAATAAACAGCAGAAACTAGTTGCCATCAGCACTGCACACTAACCGCCTTACACCACTGTTTAAGACTATTGCTGCTGCTATCACCACCAGACCTCCAGGGTCAGTGTTCCCCAATTATCACCAATAGACAATATTACAAGCTATACTTAGACAACATTCCAATACTTACTATATTCTTCATGCAGTCACAGTTTAATCGGAAGACTGACATGAAGCAAGATTTTTGTTTAGGTTTTTTTTTTTTCTTTAAATGGGATACGTTCATCCTTATATTACATGCTTCCATGCATCTCTTAAAGAGTGTCTTAGCAGGTGGCACTGTCTGGTTGATCTGGTCAGGCTTGGAAGCTCGGCAGGGTGCGGCCTGGCTAAGTTCTACAAGATTGGCAAAGTGGTAAGCAAAACGGGGAAGTCATGAAAAAAAAAAAAATCCCAGAAGAAGGGAGTGGTAAACCAATTCCACACTCTTGCTGAGGAAGCTACGTGGATGTGCCCCTGAAGTCACCAGGAATCAAGTGGATTCAAAAGGACTTTAGCTTTTATCTCTAAGGGTCAATTTAGAAGCTTGTATATAATTATCAATATGGTATAAGGTATAACAATATATTGGATGACTACTTTTTCTTCTGTAAAGTATTTTTTCAACCCATTCTTTTATGAGGCAAATAATGCCTAAGGTAAAAGATACAGTATCCCTAAGTGCATCATTACAGTATATATACGTTGCATAAAAAGAAGGAAGAAGAAAATGTTTTAAGAACTGAATATTTAATACCGCAGTCTTGTCAGAATTACGTTCACTGGATTTTGTGATTCATATTAGAAATTCCAGACTGAAGAACTCCAAGGCTCTGAAGCGAAGGCACAAAAGAAATGGAAGCCTCGGTAAACATATTGCAAAGACAAGCGTTAGATAGCCCTATTATTTGCAAGATAGCAGAATACTTTCTGTCAAAACCTTGGTAATACAGCTGTTCTATGCTTTATATCATTCTCATAACTGAAATCTTCCAGTGACTGACAAATCATATGGGGGGGGGAGCAAAACACTGAGATAATAAAGAACAGAGATGGGAGATCACACAAATCGGACATTTGCACTGATGACTTTTTAATCCCTCTTGTAATTGAACATTGTCACACAGTCTGCTTTGTAAATGGAGAAAAGTATGCTGTTCTTTAGAAATGTTTTATCTAATAAACTAAGGCCACTTTACTAAATGTACAGGGGAATATCCAATTAACTCCTCTAGCTGATGGATTGATGGAATGGCAGAACAGGCACAATGCTATCAGCAGAGTGGGCAAGAATTCTTTAGGGTTGGACAAAGGATAAATATTTCTACACTATATCTGAATTTATAGAATTTCCACAAGCAGAAAAACAATATCGCTCATTTTTCTTCTCTCACAGTCAGTGAGCGCCAAGGTTGAGTTTCTTCACTTGCTATGGACACAAACATGCTCTAACGTTTTTCTGGTCTGTTTTCATAATGTGGTCTTTCTCTGTTCCCCAAACCATTCCCGAGACAGTCTTGAATCATTGTTAATAGTACCCACTAGGGTGGTTATTATATCTCTCTTATCTTGACACCGCTTTGCAGGAGATACAACCTGGCTGACTATTTTGTCAGCAAGGTGACCCATACCTACTAGTTGACCTTAGGCTAATACTAGTATGCATTCTTCCCGATTCCCAGGCACTGGCTTCAAGGGCTATTGTGCTTTGGGCAGCTGAACAGCCTGGTTATTTAAAGTTGGGTCCCCCTCACCCTCATTTCTGCCAGATCTCTGACATTCTGCTTCTTGGAGCACCCTTAAACAGCAGCTAGCCTATGGTAGTGACAGGAGGGGAGGTATTGCAGGATAGCTATCTATCTATCTGCTGCTTCGTGGTACAGTCCCCATAATGTCTGTCAATTGTCATTCAGGCAGGCTGCTTCTGATTGCTCACCTACTGAACATGAGTTTAGCGCTTTTCTAGAATAGCACTAAATCTGTCTCCAGCTTCGTCCAGATATGGGTTTAGCAGACAATTCATCTCTAAAATGGAGCTTAAGTTCTGTCACTTTCTTTTCAAATACACAGAGACAAAACACTTACTAGTCTGACCACTATCAAATTTGCCTCCTTGCCAATCTTAGCCCACATTGACTTTCATAGGGGACTCCAATAATGCCTGTCTTAATGGGCCTTATACACTGAATAGGTGTTAGCCATCTGAGGTAGATCAGGTCAGGAAACAAACCACCACAAGAAACATTAGAACTCTATTTTATTTAGACCATAATAATAGAATCTTGAAAGCCTGATACAATGTATGTTTCCTTCCCGCTTATACCCAAGACTGTCAAGGTAGGCCAATCCCGAGTTTCTCCCTCAGACGCTACTGTCTATCGGCTTTATTCCTGTACAATAAGGACAGTTTCATTCATTGGCATCATGCCTGCATCAATATAGGAATGGCTAGTAAGGATGGCAGATTGTGTACCGCTATAAAGACAGATGGGTTACACTTCAACCATGAGAAAGAACCCTAAAAAAGCTATGGACAGAACAATTCTCAGAATGGAGTTATTACAAATTAGGAAAATTAATTTCAATCAATTAGTGTTAACACTATTCTATTTTGTGAAAGACCATTTATTTCTTTTTTTCCTCACAAGCTAACAGGGATAGGAATTTGTTTTTGAATACAGGTAATCAATTGCATTCTGACAACTAAAAACTAACCAGGATTTCTCTTGATCTGGTCAGACTTTGCAGTGTTGTTTTAATGAAATGTCAACAGTTCCCTTTTAATCTAACCATATTTTCAACTGTATAACAAAACTAGCACCTACTTACATTCTAGTCTAGAGTTTTCACTTCAAGTTGAAGTACCTTGTTTCAAAAACTATATTATTAACTATAATAATGATAGAGTTAATTTGGATACCCACATTCCTTTTTCTTCCTACTTCAGTTTTAGTACGAAGGTCAAGTGGCTTTGGGAATTACCTGATATTTGGCTTCCATGCTATTACACACAAGTAATCTCCTAGTTAAATTAACTTGGTCTTGAAATTGAATGAGTTCACTATGATGATTTGGACTTGGCTTTTTCTTATCCTTGCCCTAAAATGGTAAGCATGAATGAGATTTTATAACCTGGCTGGATCCCAACATTTATCCACCTGACTTAGAAAATCTTGCCCACCCTTCATTTTCAGTATGTGATTTATGCTTCTCATATAGGAAAAGAGATAGTTGCCTTGGCGTGAAACTGATTATGATTAAAAAGAAGTGCAAAGAGATTTCTTACAAGTGATGTCAACTATCACCTGCCATTGCCCATGGCTGCATTTGTTAATTAATAGCAAGATATCACAGGAGACAAAACACTGCTGATTAATGCATGCCTTGGGTGCAAATAAATAAATAAACCATGGCATCTTAAATGTCTCAAAAATGCTTTTTCAAAAGGCAACTAGACTGTTCCTTTCTTGAGGAAGACATTTTGCCTCTCATCCAAGAATGATGAGGGACAAAACATCCTCCTCAAGGGAAAAAAACCTAGTCCAGTTGCCTTTTGAAAAAACACCTTTTGAGGTAACCATGACCTGGAAGACTGAGAATCTCCATAGACATTTTATCATATAGCACTACCAAAGAATCTACATCTCAAGAGAAATCCCAGCTGCAATGTAATTGGAAAATGGGCATAAAAGTAATATTAATATTATAAACATGTATTAAAATCTTAATTTTAATAATCTCAATGTTGCTTTTTCATAGGATTTGGCATTTTCTAGTAACTAACCATTGTTTCTTCCATCTCACTTATAGCAACTGTGCCAATTCCCTGGAATGGAAGCATGTAATGTACAAACTTGGAAGCTGATTTAAACTATAATAAGGAATATTTGTATGTTACATTCCTTTTGTAATTATTTCCCCCACTCAAGGCCACATGAGTAGAACAGCGATGCTATTACTGGGGAGAGGGGAATGCCAGTATTTTTAATCCATGTCCTCCATTTTAGTTGGATTTTTAAAAACCTGTATATAGTTGTGCTAAAACTGTCAAAGCTGTGCCACCACTTTGCTACCAATTTTTGATGGCACTACTTGGTTTGTTGTACAGACTGGGGAGAGGATGCAGTGTTAGAAAGTCCACAAAGCCTACAGTTTCCCCAATTCAAGCTAAAACTGTGGAAACATTTAAAAAACAGCATTAATATCCGTTCCTATACATTTAAAGTGCCAGCTCCACTTCTACAGTATCGTGTGGATAAATTAGAAATGGGAATAATTATCTGCAGCAACATATTCTTCAAATTCTTAATATACTAGGACAATCAAATTTGAAAAACAAAATAACATGATGAATGTAATTTTCCAAGCAATATTTTATAATTGCTGTCATTCACCATACTTCCTAGGGAAGCTGGATGTTGCAGTTCAGCAATATGCTGAAACTCCTAAAAAGTGTGGAGAATGACAGCAAATTTATTGTGCTGTTTTGTTTTTCAGAATTGATTATTCTAGAACATTGAGAATTTTGACTGATATAGAGGAAGTTTGTATGTCTCCAAATTAATACATGAATCAATGTGTGTGATATTGCAGACATAAGGGATAATACATTAATGTTGATAATTATTTCCATTCTTATTCATCCATGCAACCCTGTGGTACTGGAGCTGGTACTTAAAATATATAGGAACAGATATTAATGATCTTTATCTCCACCGTTCCACTGTTGTTGAAATTATGTTATGCATCAGATTCCCCGCCCCCTTTTTGCTTGTTGTATTCTGCAAAAAGCCTTATGCTTTGATATATGAAGACTTATGCTATGTAAACCTCCATTAAATAATGCCTAATTTGTGTGCCCTAATCTGATTAAAAATTATTCTGATGCCATATCATTTGTACTTCCAACAACAGTGGAAAAGAATTGATAAAGAAAATTACAACCAAGATCGTGTGATTAAAAATAAGCTGGTTCAAATGTGAATTTTGTCATATTATTTATATTAACCATTTGCCATTAAAAAGGCTTAATGCAGCTTTCTACATATTTTTACCTATTGGCTCTATACACAGGAGAGGCAAGGTCTTAGATCATCAGAACAGTTCTGCCTCAAACATCAGCAGATCAACTGGCTGTCTTCATTATTAGTTCC